GCACGTCCTGGGCGAGCCGCTTCCCATCTATCGGGCTGATGCAGGAGGAACGGTAGGGCCCTGTGTCGCGCTGGTCAGTCTGAGTAGCCACTACCAAAATGGGGATGCGGGGCAAATGGCTGCGGATCTCGCCGATCCATTTGTTCCTCAGGTTCAGAAAGGAATTGTGGTTCGCTACCGAGTAGCACATTAATACCACGTCTGCCTGTTGGTATGAGAGGGGGCGAATGCTTCTGAAGGCATCGCTGCCAGATGTGTCCCAAAGACCTAGGCTAATCTGTACACCATCCATGAAGACATCCACTCCAGTATTTTCATATACAGTGGGTCTGTAGTCATCTGGAAAAGTCTCAGAGGTGAAACGTACCAAGAGAGATGTTTTCCCCACCGCGGAGTCTCCCACCAGGACACACTTGATTGAATCCAGCATTTTATTAACGTCCAGGGCCAAGAGCACCGTCTCAGCGCAGCAGGAGTGGGATAAAGAGATGCAGTGGTCTTGGGGGCTCTCTAGATAACTTCCATTTGGTGAGAAACCATTTGAATCTCTTTGCTTCTCAAGGCTTGACTGTGTCACTTGAGTCTAAAATCCCCTTCTCTCCCACACGGCTCTGTGGCACTGCTGGTTTTAATTCTTCAGTGAGTCAAATGACGTTTCTGAAAGAGTAAAACTAAAATGTAACATTTATAACCCACAGAGAACAGACCATTCTTCATCAAGATAAAGCCACCTGGACATGCCTTTGGACAGCCATGGGGAGCACCCCACGCCAAAGATGCTGAACCTTGCCATTCCCTCCCGGCCAGCTGTGTGTGTAGCAGCCATTCACATGAATAACCTTCCTGCTGCTCCACGGGGGCTAACAGTCCTATCACCTCTGCCATTCTCCACTGACACCAACTATTTTTTCCCTCAAATTGTCTAAAAAACTCATTAAATCAATTTAATGTCGGCATAACTGCTGCTAACCTGCTTTTAGCGAGACATTTCCTGCCTCTGACTTTCACCAAGGCTGCCAAAATCCTGAATCCCTCTTAACCGATCAGTTCAGATTCCCTTGAAAAAGTACCCATGCTCTCTAGAGGCAGTCAAGAGGAAAAAAACCCTTCACTAACAGATTTGAGCATTTAAGCAATCCTGTAATGAAAAGTAACGCAGAACCGCTTGTGACAACGAGGAAGCAAAGACTTCAGGTGTGAATCTTGAGCGACGTGAACCTTCATGGTTTTCACCCACAGCAAAAATACAAAAACGTTCAAACTTTTTCTTACAAGTCACTTTCTGCAAGTGAGAAGCACACGCCAGGGAAGCCCACACCACCAGTGCTTGCCCCAGCCAAACAATTTCATTTGAAAGGGGTACAGCTGCCCTGACATTTACTCTGTTGTAAAACTGAACTGAGAGTACCTCTTCAGAGTATGTAATTGCTTTTGAACTCCCGCCAGCATTCAGTCAAATTTTCCTATTTTGAAAGCGTTTGCCTCTCCCCCGCTAGCCACGTGCAGGATTCACTGCTCACACAGGGCGACACACAAGGTGCTCCGAAAATTGCTAACTGCAGAGCTGAAGGCAAAGGAGTTCTGCTCAATTAAATAATTTTTTTAAAGTATCACTGCATAATTTCAAAATGTCCTGTGTATGATAGATAAATAATATATTTCTGTCTCCTTCATGTGCAAAGAGAGATGCCACGGCTTCAGGTTATTTGCAGAAACTGAATGATGGCCACAAAAAGCATGTACTCTACGTTACGGTAAGGCTCTCCAGTTTCACTACCCGCCACCACCCCACCTTCCAATTTCTAGTAGGCTCAAAGCTTTGGCTTACTCCACAAAGGGAAAAAAACAAAGGAAGAGAAGAGAAAAGCGCTAGGCGAGCTTAGAGAGAACATTTTGCAGGCACTGACAGCTGCTACCAGCAACTTCCCCACTTTCATTTTGTAGTGAGGCAGTGCCCTACCTCCTCTCGGGCTGCCACCACGCCTGCATCTCACCCATCCGGTGCGCCGGCTGAAAGAAGACGTGTCGACGGCGTGGCTGGAGCACGTTGTTTTATAGAGGCGGCACCGAGCCGGCGGGGCAGCCCGGGTGCGCACCCGAGTTACCGGTATCTGGAGGAGCCGTTGCAACAGGCGGCGCTTCCTGGTCCGCCAGGGCCACCCCGCTCTCGTCACCTCAGCGCCCTTCTAGGAAGTGGGATGGAGGCCAAGGCCGCTTCACGGCACTCCTGGCTGCCGGGAAACGAGCTGCCCCGTGAATCTAAGTTTTGTTGGCAGCAGCTGGAAATCTGCTTTTAAAGGTTCGGTAGGTCTGACTCCACTGTCTCGCCTTCTCCATTCCCCAGGCGAGCTCTCAGGGGAATTAAACAAGACATTTACAAAATGTATCTATGAAAAATTCCAAAAGTGTATGCAGGATACACAGCCCCATTACTTAAATGCATCATCATCTTTCCTTCAGGGTATTCTACTTCAAAATTGTGTCAGCAGTACAGTGTTCAAACACCACAGTTCGCCACAAGCCGGTCACGTATGATTCAGACAAAACTGCGTGCCCCCAGGAGAAAGTTAGCCTGTACCAAGTCGCCTTCTCAGAACAAACATTTCTTTGCTGCAGGTAGTCCTTAATGTCTTCAGGCTTGTTATTTTGTGTATATTTCGTGGGGAAAAAATATATATATTTATGGGGGGGGGGGGGGGGGATATATATAAGTATACACATGTGGGGGAAAAAGCGGATGTCCAAAGCATGACTTTTGGTATTTCATAAATGCCAGAAGAGATAAAAGGACTGTTCTGCTACTCAGCTTGTTGATTACCCAGTCTGATTATGTTGGCTATTTTGAAAGAAAGTACGTAAATGATTAAAGACTAAAAAAGATACTAAGGACTAGTGAATATGGCTAGTCGACACACACAATAACAAAAGCTGAAATATTCCACCATGACAGTGCGGAATTGTTTTCAAAGCAAATTATATTGTTCTAGAATCCATTAATAAATAAAAATGAACAGCATATAATAAGGTCCATATTCTGGTCCTGTGGACAGATTGCCATCAGTGGTCCTGGTCTTGCTTTTGTTCACAGTCGTTTAGAGTTCATGAGCCTCTGTATATAGCTGGGACTACATATGTACATGCTGAAGATATATTTTTAATTATGCACATAGCCTGTCCTTGACACAGCCTCAGGGTAAAAGCAGTATTAGTGTATTAAAATAATTACTCAAGTTCGCCTTAATTAATGGAAAACTCTTTAGATTAAACATCAAGAGAAAACAATGTCCTTTAAAGGACAGGCCAGTACTGGGCACTCCTACACATCAGTGTACAACCAGTTGTGTAAATATTTGCAAAAGCTTTGGTTCTTTTCTCTCATATTATATACTACAGTCTTGGTCTGACAGTACAGCACGCTATGCCCATTAAAAGACTGCACAAAATCTTCTGATCACAGGTGGTTGGGTCTAAGCTGCTGACAGATATTTTTTTTTTCCCCCAACAGTTTGGTTTTCCAAATTTTACTGACTTTATCAAGTCCATTTTGGATCGGGAATTCCAGATATAAACCTGCATCTTCTTTTACACTACTTAGGTTTATGCTTTCTTCACTTGTAACAATAGAAGATTTTATTTGAATAATAAGTTGAGAGCTTTTATAATATTATTACGTATAAGAATATATGTCTAATTCTGATGCAGCCATTCTGCATAGTGACCTTCAATAAACTTTGGGATTAACCTCAAAGAAAATTCTTGCACAGTTTTAGATAGAGCACTGTTTTTTCAACTGTATCATACTGTCTATGTAACTAATGCAACGTTTATGTTCTTTGCTTTCCTATTTTTGTTCCCTCTGTCTTTGGAATACAGAGCCTTGGCACGGCGTGTGGTTATAGAGCCCTCGGACCTCACTGGCGACGTGAGCACAAGGAGCCATACAACATGCGCGCTCCGGGCACTGCCCCCCCTGCACCTCAGCGATCTCATGCAAGTAAATGCCTCACGCTTGATCATGGCTGAACGTGATAAGGAGAAGGGGAGCAGTGTTATCAAACCCTAACGTGATGGGATGGGAAGAGGAGCACAGCAGCACCAAGCTCTTTGCAGGTGGGGGATTCAATCCCATGAAAAACTAATCTAGTATTTGTTGAAACAAATACACCAACAAAGGAAAGCCAGACTGCTTGTGTCAGAAGGGGTAAGTTTATCAACTGACCCAAATGGGATTTTTATTTACTCCTGGAATGCCTCTGGCATCTACTATAAGATTATTGTGAGCATGGCTCTCTATGGCTAAACATCTGCAGGGGATGGACAGTGTCTTAATGATAGGGGAAAATAAAAAGAGTCAGGAACTCCTAATTTCAAAACCTATCTTGGATGTTGATTGTGCACCCTGGGGTAGGCTGGGATTTGAAAGGAATTAGCTCATACGTAAGCAAACCACGCAGGAAAGACAACAGGCTTTTTAGATCAGGCAGTCACAAAATGCTTCAGAGAGTTAAAGCAATTAACATGATATCTATTATTGCCATTATCCGGTCCCTACCACAATTACATCTCAGTGCAGTTCCTGTTGATAGCAGGATAAGAGCAGGCTAATTTTTCAGTTTGAGCACTGTGTACCACTAGCTCTTGAAGAGAACTGATGTTGCGAGGAAGTAAAAATATTTATACTAATTAAAAAAGTTGAGAACCACTGGAGAGAATTCCACTTGCTGTGCAATGCTTGAATGCGCATATCGCCTTTGCCTGCCCACAATACTCCTGTTAAGTCCCACCTCATGGAGAGATGGGGTCTGCAAACAGTGTCTACAGTTCTCTATCGTGTTGATTATAATCACTGCTCCTTCGAACTGCATCGTGGATACATAAAAGCTCTCTTTGCATCTCATAGAGGTTCTCGAGGAGACGAGGGGACATGGAGGCTACCCTTACCAGAAGAGCGTGCAGCTTTACACCTTCCCCTCGGAGGGGACATGGAGGCTACCCTTACTGACCAGAAGAGCGTGCAGCTTTACACCTTCCCCTCCATGGGTACAGCGGGCACGGCAGGGCACGGACGGGGCCTGAGGACAACTCTTGTGAGCAGAAGGAGAGGGAGGAGGAGGAGGACGCCTGGCAGGAAATCAAGACAGGGCAGAGATGCTGTTGCCTGCTTAGAGGCAGCACCCAGAAGATGCGGCAGGGAGATGATTGGCCCCTGTGACCAAGATACCATGACCATTGTGGATCCGGTCTGGATGCTCAGCTAGATCACCAGCTTGCCAAGGTCATGCTACCTTATTTTCAACTCTGTGGGTGAGTTGTACTTGCTCCATTCAGATACAAATCTCCAGACCGCTGCACAGGCCTTTGCTGCTACAGCACGGGGCTACTGAAAACTAATACATCAGCTGTAGTCCATCTGGAGACTGCAGCTGGTCTGCAAGCAAATGGCCCCTCGCTGCAAAGTTTCCTGTCATGCATTCATTAAGCTGATGCTCTGACATTTGCGTTAGCTGCCTCCTGGTTTGTAAACTCATTTTAAGATGATTTTGATCTATAATACTAAGTGGCCCTGGTCTTGCCAGTCTAGGAAACAACCTCCCTCCTGCTCAGACAGTGTCAGCATCTCAGTCCATAGCGGTATTCAGGGGAGGCACCATTGCCGT